AGTAAACATTACAATGCTTTCATACACAAAATATCTCATTTTTTTATAAGTCATAAAGTTTGTAAAGCAATGTTTCTCTCATGCCTTTTTTTTTTCTTTCACATCTTACCTATCTATCATGCAAAGTAATTTTAATTTTAAGATTTAAAATACTTTTATACATTTGAAAATTTTGAAATTTCACATGTGAAATCTTTATAATGTCCTGATAGTTATCAAAAGTTTCTTAAGAAAAATCTTTATATTTTATGTGTTATTTTCAGTAATTAATCTCTATATGAGTTCAGTAGATTTGAACGATTTTGCAACCACCATAAAAAATTAGAAAATAAACATAAATTATGCCTCTTTCATTCTATAACACGAAAACATAAATGTTTTGACGACGTATCTTAAATCTCATAACATTATACATTTATATATATATTATTTTTATTATATTAACCTTTCACCCATGCCTGGCTAACAATACATAAGTTACAGTGATGTGGCTCATGTATACTCATGTTACTGTATCAAATAAGATAAAACTGGCCTTTGGTCTGTACAAAGTAACGTGTGTTTGCAGTGTTTTAGTCGGCTAGTATTTTGTAAAATACAGTCACATTTCAATTATTATACATTATATAGGTTATTGCTATTTTGAAATAAGTTCTTAAACATGTTTTTCCTGAAACAAAGAACAGTAAATAAAGAAGTAAAGCAAACAATTATTTCTTCTAGTTATGACTTTTGTACTAGGTTGCTGCTAAAAAATCATAAATTACTACATCAATACCATAGAATTCAACTATAATTTATCACGCTTAGTAACTAAGATGTAATTTACTCTTTAAAAAATATAAAATTTCGAGCAGACTAAAGACACAATTTACCTCATTGAAATCTTGGCTCACATGAAAGACATTGCACTAGCCATGTTAGAAAGGCTGAGAAAAGCACTAGGGGACATTCTGAGCTTCCGATTGGTTATTCATGTTGTATATAGAAGTAAGTGTATATATAAGGGAGTGTTTCCAAAAATGGAAAGAGGTGGGTGGGGTGCCACTGTGCTTGATTTATTACATGAGTAATAGAAAAGATAAGACCTTATTTTATATTCTAGCTTGTCAATACCTGTAATTTGAGTTTCTAATTCCTACAAATTTATAGACTTAGTATTTTGACTTCACAAACATCTAATTTGAACCAGTGCTGCATTCAACATACCACATGACACACAAACATTGATGTTTATCTGTTTTTTATTAATATTGACTTTTAAATTAACAAATTGAGTAATATATAGTTCTAAAATCTGAATTATAATCTACAGTTTGATACCAAACTTGACACAAATTCATGAAATAGTAGTTCAATAAAATTTTGAATGAGAGTCAACAAACTAGATGACATGGCCTTTCACCTATGACCCATCTCAGAAGGGTTAATACCTTCAGCAAATTTAAGTAATTTTATTGACCATTCCTTCATCTATGTCATTGATGTAAATCAAAAAGATTAAAGGTCTTAATACTGAGCCCTGAGGTACCCCAATTGTGACATTAATCCAGTTTAACTGAACTCTCTTTATAACAACCCTCTGCTTTCTTCCATCCAGCCATTCTGCTAACTTATCACCCACACCTAAATAGATAATTTTTTTACAATCCTTTTATGTGGCACCTTGTCAAATGCTTTCTGAAAATCCAAATACACCAAATCCTACACCCTTACCCTCATCTACATAAGCAGTAACTTTTTCAAAGAATGTTAAAATATTAGTAAGGCAAGATTTTTCCTTAGTGAAACCATGTTGACTATCAAATAAAATTCTAAACTTCGTTAAATGACTTTGCAGAGTATCTTTTATCAGGCTTTCCAAACGTTTTCTCACAACTGGTGTAAGACTAATATGCCTATAATTAATGGGACAATTTTTTATTCCCACCTTTGAAAAGAGAAGTGACATTAGTTAATTTCCAATCCTTTGGCACCTGCCCACTAATCGAGGACTTAGAAAAAATAGTGGCAAGTGGCTCACATATCCAATCATCAGGATTAATGCAGTCATATTGTCCAACCTTATTTCCATTTATCAACTGTTCAAGATGAGGTATACTGCTTAAATCTTCATTAGTAAAAACTGAAGAAAAAGCATAAATTTAATAACTCAGCCATCTCATAATTATCAAATACAAGCCTTCCTTTATCATCCCTCAAAGGTCATACACCCATCTTAATATTTTATTTACCCTTAATGTACTTAATGAAATTCATCCTGTTAATTTTTACATTTTCAGCCAACCTGTTTTCATACATCTGTTTTGATGTCCAAATTTCCGGTTTGACCAACTTCCTTGATCTTCTAAGTCTCCCATCTTACCATTCAATTTAACTTTCTTTAATTTGTGATGCTTTTCTTTAATTTTATCTCTTACACCCTTTGTGAGCTAACCTGGTTTTTTCTTGCAGCCACCCTTTTCTTTTTGTAAGGAATATGTTTATCTTGAATATTTAAAAATTCATTCTTGAAAATTTTACACATTTGACTGAGAGATATGATGCAAAGATATGATATCAGTTCAAGAATGGTATACAAGAACATAAAAAAAGGCAAGGTGACAGATAGCTATTTGATTCATCCGTAATGCAACTCTTGGGTTACTCTTGTCATCAGGCAAAAGATTACACAGGTTTTTAGTTCTAATTGAAAGACATGTTGAAGAATGAGTGTGCACCTAAGCTTCAAGGCTAGAACCTGTTTTTCCTAATACTTAAGATTTGATATTGTTGCATAACCATACATAAAATGTGTAACATTACAGACAACAAGGGTGCATTTGGTCCTTTAATGCTATCCCTGTACCCTCACCCTTGAGAGAAAGTAGAAATTTAAATTAAGCCTTTATTTTTTATTAACTTCACTATTCATATTTTTAACTCTTGTAAGGTGCCAGCCTTTACTACTGCTGATAGCAACATGTTCCAGAAGCATATTACCTATTATAAAAAT